CAGTAGAGGTATTTTGAAAGAGTTGTTGTAATGGGGTAAGATTTATTTGTGGAGTGGACTGATTTTGAAGAAAGAATGAGGTACGGAAATTCTGAAATCCAGGGGGATTCCTAGGTGAAATAGGCGGTGAATACTGGGGAGAGGTATTGACATAAAAATCAAGGTTACCTGAAGTGGTTTGGACCTCAGACGTCCCTGCTCTTCTAGATGAAGTTGGTTCAATGGTTGCGGTCTTTTCTTTTAACGCCTTGCGAATCTGTCTGGCGAGCTTCACAATACCTCTCTGAACTAGTGGTTCTCCCCTCTTTGAACGTGTACGCATAAACAAACTGACCTGCAAGGTTAAGTGACAAAAATACTATGGAAAACTAAAACAAGTCGCTGATATTAATTAATCCTCAAATCCGACACCGTCTTCGGCAACGGCGCCAAAAACTGATGTGAGTTTTCTCGCACTTAAAATAGATCGTAATATAGTGGTGTAAGTACGAGTATCGTCTCCACAGGGACGGACAAAAGGGAATTAAGAATTAACTAAATTCAGCGATTAAAAATAAATAAATAAAAAATGTGTCGTGCGAGATATGATTGGTTTCTTCTTAATTAACGACAAAGGGAACAGGGACTGATTCCGGGGTAACCAGATTTATGGCAGAACAGGCCTAATTACATGAAATTAATTTAATTGAGCCTAGCTAATCATTACTAATTTCTTACCGCTCTCGCGGCGCAGAGTACCATAATTTAGGGGACCATGCTGATCTCTCATGCGAAAGGATCCTAAATCATTGCCAAAACGAGCGAGCTTACGGCCCCTTAATCGATACTCATCTCTTAGCAAACGAATAAGTGTATGTGAATGTGTCATAGAACAAATTAGATCTCTCTTAATTCATTCTACATGCAATAGTAATTCTAGTGGTCATCTAGGTTACAAGAGATATCAGTTAAATTATTCAAACACAAAGTAAACGGCATTCATGCAATTAAACCATCAAGAATCTAGCCATCAATCATGATTAACCCCTTCATCAACCCCAAATCCGTAATTAAACTACTCACAATTCATAATTGAAGAATCAACAGAATTGAGATGAATAGAAATAACTGTCATTAATTAAAAAGATGAACCTACAAATAATCCCAAGGTCTTGGAGTAAATAATCATAAAAACGCAAGTAAATTCGTCCATAGGCCTCTCCGTAATGTTTGTAACCATAAAAAAGGGTTATGGAGGCCTTATTTATAGAAAACAGATGAGTTTGGGCTGAACTGCGGTAAGGGCGGAAGCAGAAGGCCGGCGATGGTGGTTTGGCGACGAAGATGAAGCAGAAGGCTGAAACTTCACGCTAAGTTGTCGCCGAAGGAGAGAAGGAGAGAAATGTTAGGTCATATTTTTGTCAGTTTTTAAAGTGTTTATAATTTTGTCCTCCCAAAGCGGGTAGGTCATATTTGGGTCATTCTTTCAATTCTAAAATAGGACTATCATGTTTTTTTTTTAAAATAGTACTACTTACTATCAAATTAGACAGTACCAGGCTTTGGCAATAGTTTTCAAATTAGTTAGTAATTACTCCTATTTGGGGAATAAAAAGCATGACAGTTCTATTTTGGAATTTTCAAACTGTTTTAGTCCTATTTGGGGATTTTCTCTAAAAAAAAAAACTAAAAAGAAAGCATGCACTAATATTATACTACTACTCGCACATGGTAAGGAGTACTCCGTATATTTTTGTTACCTCGCTTTTTTGTTATTACATCCTTAAAGAAAAACTATTTTCGTCATTTTCGCAATTAATATTCGAAGTATTTATATTTTATTCTAGCATTTCAAATTAGCAAGATCTTAGGATATTTTTACACCCTTAAAATTGTTAATGACCAATTTTCTCCTCAAACGAAGCATGAAAGCGTCAAAGCGTTAGGGGAGTTAGGGAGTGTTTTCCTTTGCTTAAAAAAAGTGTTTTGGAAGTTTTAGATTAAAAAAATCCAAAAAAGTATTTGGTAATCCTAACTTTTGCTTAAAAAAAAGTGTTTTAAAATAAAAAACTGGAGGGAAAATGGAAACTAATAATCCAACCTTTTAGTGGTCTTCTTACAATAATCAAACCTTTTGGTTATTCATGAATAATCCAACCTTTGCACCTCATCTTCATTCACTGGTCTCTGACCGGTTGATGACCTGCTATTCCAAGCTATTTTCTTATCTTTGCAAATCATTATACCATAAATCTCATCTTTCACAAAGATAATATTTTGCAAAGATAAGAAAATAACTTGGAATAGTAGGTCATTAACCGACCAGGGACCAAAGAATGAAAATGAGGTGCAAAGGTTGGATTATTCATGAATAATTAAAAGGTGAGATTATTGAAAGAAAACCGCTAAAAGGTTGGATTATTAGTTTCCATTTTCCCAAAACTGGAAGCTGGGGTAAGGGTGTTTTAAGAGCTTTTAGGTTTTTTTTTTTTTGTAAATAACTCAAATTGCTAGGATAATTATAATGGCACCCAAATCCTAAAATGTCATTCGGCCCTCTTCCTTGCTACGCTGCACCAGACTGCAATTCCAGTTTGCTTCTTAGATTCACCCAAAACTATTAAGGAGTCCCGCTTGGAGAAATAGGCGGCTTCCCCCTACTTCGCTCACCTCCTTAGCTCTTTTCCCAATTCATTCAAGAATTGATGTTCTTCAATCTTTATCTTCGAATATATATTTATATACTACGTATATTCTTGCTCCTGCCGTTTTTCTCTTCTTGAATTGGGTATGGGTTTTATCTATTTTTTCCAATCTGATTTTTCTTTCTATTGTTGGCTGCTTTCTAATTCCATGGGCATGATGAGCTTCACGATCGGCAACTTAGGCGGAGAGAGAGGAGACCGCATGGGTTGGGTAACTGGGTGTGCTCCTGATTCCAATCTGTTTGGTAATTTGTCAAAATATTATATCACAAATCACTTTTTTTATCAAACAATTCAATATTTACATTCTTATTAAAATCACTTCTATTTACAAACACTATCTTAGTATTTGATTACACCTTTTACAGTTTTACCTCTATCAGTACTCGTGCATACGCACGGGGTTAATCCATATATATTTTTTTATTCTTGATATGATTAAATATAAAAATAGTTTTTTTACGGAGTATAATTATACATCATTTTAAAAATTGAATACAATAAGTGAATAATAAAAGAGGACTTCATGGATAATGGAGTGCGTAACAACCTCTTCCTTTTCTATATCCATTAATGGTGTACTCCATGGATGGTTTAAAGGGAAAAGAGGTCTGACACAAGGGGATCCCATGTCCCGAATGTTATTTGTTTTATGTTTGGAGTACTTCTCATAGATGTTAGTACTTAGGAATTCAAATCCTAGCTTTGACTATCATCCTTCAATTTGTCTTGGGGTACACAAGATGTACACATATTGTACATCATATAAAACCCCCCAAAAATTACCATTCCATTTACCCCCACCTTCTCTCCTCTCTTTCTTTCCCTCCCACTCCCCCTTCCCGTTACTTATTTTCGCACACAAACAAGCTCAGCCAAGGTCTACTGTTCACTGAAGCTTCTTCTTCCTCCTGGTCTCTTCACAACTCGACGGAGGAAGTATAATAACACTTGAGGAATGGATTAAACTCTTGAGGAGATGGCCTTCATCAGTAGTTATGACATGGCCGATTTTATGGAAGCTAAAGTCGACGAAGGCGGCTCTGGGTCTGAACCTCTGACGACACAAGAAGGTGAGTCCTGTACAAAAGACGTCGGCGACGGAGAGGAAAAGCATATTCTGGAGGTTGATGATGAAGAAGGTACGTGGAACGTAATGTCTGTGAAGACAGGCATTTCGTGGTTTCAGTGCCTGTAGAACTGAATGACATTGTATTTGTATACTCTAACATTCATTTATGGCACTCCATGAAGTAAAAGTGTTGTATTCTATTTTTCATGTAGTAAATGTTGATATTCTATTGCTTGTGCACAAAGATGAAATAAAGTAAATGTGTTTTGCTATTGCCTGTCCACAGACGTTTATATTTGTAATAATCATTTTTTATATATGTGTTCTCTCAGACCCGGATAACACTAATGTAGATGGTGGTACACCAGACGTCCATGTAAAAGTTGGGATGTTGTTTGCGGGAAAAGATGAAGCCTATGATCATTATAAGAATTACGCAAAACGTATAGGTTTTCCCATTAGGATTAGGAGCTCAAAGAAAGACAAACAAGGAAACGTAACAGGAATGTTAATTGAATGTGGCCGTGCTGGAAATAGAGTTTCAAAGTCAACAAATTGTTTGATGCCTGCAGCTACTAGTGCAATGGGTTGCAAAGCCCGAATCAAAGTAATGTATGACTATGCCGGGTCATGGGTTATTTCTAAAGTGCATGAACAGCATAACCACCCTATGAGTCCTACCAAAACTAGAGCTTTTCGTTGCAATAGGAAATTGACTATGAGCGCGAAGAGAAAAATTGCAATAAATGCGGTTGCCGAAATTCCTCTTCACAAAACCTACACCTCTGCCGTAGTAGAAGCCGGGGGTTATGAGAATTTACCGTTCATTGAAAAGGATTGTAGGAACTGCGTTGACAAGTTTCGCCGCTTGCGTTTAGGAAATGGTGATGCCATTGCAATTCAAAGTTTCTTTTACAAAATGCAAGCGGAGTGCCCCGGTTTTTTCTTTGCCCTTGATGTAGATGAAGAATCTCGCCTTCACAATGTATTTTGGGCGGACAAGCGATGTTGGTATGCTTACAGAGATTTTGGAGATGTGATAACTTTCGATACAACTTATCTCACCAATAAGTACGACATGCCCTTCGCACCTTTTGTAGGAGTAAACCACCATGGGCAATCCATCTTGTTCGGTTGTGGCTTAATTTCAAATGAGGACACCGACACATTTGTGTGGCTGTTTACAAAGTGGCTTGGAGTGTATGGATGGTTGTTGTCCTAGTGGAATTATTACCGATCAAGATAGGGCAATGAAAAATGCCATTCAAATTGTGTTCCCAAATACAAGACATCGGTGGTGTCTATGGCATATAATGAAGAAGGTGTCTGAGAAGTTAGGAGGGTTGACTGATAAAGATGAAGTTAGTGGTTGTTTACATGATGCTGTTTATGACTCCCAAACAGGTGCACAATTTGAGTTCGCATGGAGTTCTATGTTGCAAAGGTAAGCATTTGTTTTTTACAAGTTGTGTTCAATATGACAACTATTGTAAGATTCATGTTTTGTAATGTGAAGGTTTCATCTTAATGACCACGAATGGCTACATGTGCTTTACAATGAAAGACATCGGTGGGTGCCATGCTACTTGAGGCCAACTTTTTGGGCAGGGATGTCAACGACCCAACGGAGTGAGAGCATTAACGCCTTTTTTGACGACTTTGTTCATTCTAAAACAAGTCTAAAGGAATTTGTTGATCAATATGGGCGTGCGTTGAAATGCAAAGTAGAGAAAGAGTTCCAAGAGGATGCTAAGTGTCTCACCAAATTGTTGCCTTGTGTGAGTATATATGCCATGGAACATGAGTTGCAACAAATGTACACACTTGCAAAGTTCAAGGAGTTTCAAGCTCAAATGGCCGGGAAGTTGCATTGTGACCTGTTAGGGTGTGAGGATGGTATACATTACAATATCCGTGAAGACAAAATGGAGAATGTTTTTTTTTCAAAACAGTCCATGTGGTGGTTGAGTACGATAATTCTATCCCTAATTCTAAAGCCGTGTTCACGTGCCACTTATTTGAGTTTAGAGGGATTGTTCGTAATCACATCATCACAGTCCTTGTGCGTAACGGAGTTCATGCCCTACCAAAGTGTTACATTGTGCAAAGGTGGAGAAGAGATATCAAAAGAGGATACACAAGAGTAAAAATTAACTATGATGGTTGGATTACGACTAAAGAGCAACAACGGTTTGACAAGTTATGCACCACCTTTGAAAGACTTGCAAATAGTGTGGCTGATGATGATGAACATTATGAACGCGTCTTGACATGGGTTGAAGGTGAATTACAAAAATGCAACATGTCAAATGGTCGTTCGTCAATTTGTGGAGTTATGACTCAATTAACGGACACCCCGCCAATCCAAGTCGTAGGCGTGAACGGACAGACAATTGTTCCTATTGAAGATCCAAACAGGACAAAACGTAAAGGCGCTCCGAGAAAGAATAGGCAAAAAGGGCCTATTGAAAAGGGAAAGAAAAAAGCTAAGGTACATATAGCATAAGTTGATGATTTGATGTTATTCTCTAAAGGAGATCTTACATCGATGTGATTTTTCTTGCACTTAAAATAGATAGTAGTATATGGTGTAAATACGAGTATCGTCTCCACAAGGACGGGAAAAGGGAATCAAGAATTAATTAAATTCAACAATTAAACAGAAATAAAATAAAAGCAATTGTGCGAGATTGATTGATTGGAAAATTAAATTAAATTGCAGGCAAACGAATAAAATAAATTTGATTTCTTCTTAATTAATGACGAAGGGAAGATTGATTCCGGGGTAACCAGATTTCTGGCACATTAGGCTTAATTACATGAAATTAATTTAATTGAGCTTACCTAATCATTACTAAGTTCTTACCGCTCTCGCGGCGTGGAGTACAATAATTTAGGTGACCAGACTGATCTCTCATGCGACAGGTTCTTAAATTATTGCCAAGACGAGCGAGCTGACGGCCCCTTAATCGCTACTAATCTCTTAGCGAACGGTTAAGTGTGTGTGTGAAGGTGTCTTAGAATAACTAGATCTCTCTTAGTTTATTCTACAAGTAATTGTAATTCTAGCGTGCGTTCTAGGTTACAAGAGATATCAATTAAATTATTCAAACACAAATTAAATGGCATTCATGCAATTAATCCATCAAGAAACTAGCCACACATCATGATTAATGATATGCACTAATTAGTAGTGCATAAGTGTATGTTTTTATGTTTGATTTGTGTGTATTGTTTATCGTTTTATTTAGTTTGTAAACATTTGTGTGATCTTAGTTGTAATTGTATTTTAATCTTCATTTACAAGTTGTAAAGTAAATTTAGGAATTATGGTGTTGGAAAAGAGGACTTTGAAGAGAAGAAAACAAGAAATTTGACTGTCCAGGAGCAAAACCTGACCGGGTAGAAATTGCCAGACCCGGTCGGGTAAGATTTAACAACCGAAGAAGCAAGGAAATTGCCAGACCCAATTTACTTAACGAAACTTGTTTTTTCAAGTCAATGGTACCTAACTTTGACCGATTATATATCTATATAGAAAAAAAATTAATGATATAAAAATTATATGAAAAATTTATTTGTTGAAAATACTATTATAAAATTATTAATATTTTCATAAATATATTAATTAAAATAATTGGTCAAAGTGAACCACCTTTGACCGGAAAAGTCAAGATTGACTAACTAAATTGGGACGAGGTAGTATAATATTTTTTTTTGTGGCATTTCAAATTGAGAAAGATCAATATATGCGCCATGATAAAAACGCGTCAGGGAACACTACGATAGCTTGGCAAAACTTTAGAGAAGCAGTCAGAGACGTCAGAGTTTGGCATTGGTCTAATTCGATTTATTGGTCCAATTTTTATCCCAACAATGAGTGGTTGAGTTACCTGAGTACACTTCAACGGACGGATCGGGGATGGTTTTACTTATAATCGTACCCGTCCTATTGGGCAATCCCCCCATCCCCTAACAAGTCGGGTAATTTTATCCAAATCATAAATGGCCCAACTGGTAATGGGTATAATCGCGGATATATAACCGCGGGTAACCACGAGCAATTGCTTTATTTAATTAGTCATTGCTAATTTAATACGTAGTATAAAAAAACATATTGTAAAAGGCAAAAAATGACATTACCTAGACGACTATAGGCTCGGACGACACTTGATAGTTTCGTATATCCACACGACGATAAAGAAGACAACCTAAATTAATTTAAACCTAAAATACACTTAATCTGGACAATGATTTATCACAAAACTATAATGTTAGAACATTATTTATTGTGTTCAAATTAATGGTAACAAATAAATAGAGAAGTGAGCTAAATATAAAGAAAGTCCGGGCGCCTTATCTATCCTAATTGTACATGGATGTTCGACTCTCTCGGTCTCTCCTATTAATAAAGGTAGAGGGGTTTGAACAACCTAAATCTCTACACAATTTATTCCGCACGTATCATTTTGATAGAACAGCACTTTAGTTTTCCTCTCTCAACAAGTCATTCACATATCATGTACTTCGTATTCTTGAGACTAAAATATACTTGATCCTAATATTGTATATACAAATTGTTTTTTTTTGAACATTTTATTAAACAACCTTCCTATTTCCAACCTGCATACAAATTATTTCGAATTAAATAAACAAATATTTTCTAATATATGATGAAAAAAATAAGGATATCAGATAAAAATATGACTTGAATTTTTTTACAGATATAAATGATAAGGATATTTTATTAAACAACCTTCCTATTTCCAGATATAAATGATTGATTAAGTCCATATTTCCATTTCAGCTCATTAAGTCCAAAGTAAACGGGCCCTAAATGGAAGGTGGGAAGGAGATTTACTTGTGCAATTGAGGGGGAGAAAAAAGAAGAGAAAGAAAATAAAAAATAGAAGAAGAAGAAAGTGAGAAACGTTGCTGTTAGAGACAAAGGAAGGAGGAATAGGTGACAAGAGATGAAGAAACTGGTTGTTCACCTTTTTCTCTTTTTCTTTTAATTTGTTTACCCGATGAACAAGTTATGAGTAAAATGGATCAATTTGAGAAGAGTTCTGATAAAGCTGAGATTATTTTAGAATTAGTTATACTTGGGATTAATAGTTAAAGACCTATAATAGGTGGGATTATTCTTGTGAATTTTTCCTATTATAAACCTTATGTTGATGGGTTGGCCTTCCTGAATTTTTCCATCTTGAGTCTTTAGGATGTTTTTACTTGGACTGTAATTTGTCACATATCAGACTAGATCAGATCAGACCAGACCAGACCAGATCAGACCGGACTTGTATAGCTATAAAAATACAACGAAACTAGACCAGACCAGACCAATTCAGACCAGACAAGATCAGCCCAGGCCAGCAAATTACAGTCCAAGTAAAAACATCCTTCGAGTCGATCAGATAGTTATATGAGAAGATATAGGCTGAGCTTTGATTTTACTCCAATGAAAAGTGAGTGTATTTCATCCAAAATCATTGTTTGGAGTTGAATTAGAAACACCTCTAAATGCACAAATGATACCTTAATTATCAGTAATGTTGCATTTTGGTACCTTAACTCTTAAATGAATCAAAATGGTACCTGAACTATACATAAATGTTTCGAATAGAGATTTTATTCAAGTTTTCGATCAAAAAATCCTTCATGATGATCAAAGTTCCATTTGTTGAGTCACACTATAGTTGATCATATGGACAAAAATAAGGTGAAGTAAACTTTACGCAAAGAATTTTGAATGCTCAAGTAACTTAACTTCAAATTAAAGTATATTCAATTCCTCCGTCCGGCTCCTATCTATGCAGGGCCATTAATATATATACATTCGCCATTCAGTTCAACTTATTTGAAGTCGCAACATCCAATTATATCGTAGACTCGCTCGTTGTATATATGTAGTTATTACTTGATCGATCATTGGATCTCATATACACACACACATATATACAAGGAAAAATTAAATACATATATGTACATAATGCCTCAGGATGTACAAAAGAAGTATGGGAAGGCAGTGGCTTACATGATAGCAGGCACCGGCAGTTTGATAGCGGCGATTGCTATGGCCGGTTTCATGGCGGGCGGCAGCTTCAACGCGGCAGCGACGGCGAGAATTACCCATCAGCAGCGCGTTGCATTTGATGCATTCGTGGTCAGCGATGCGGTGGCCGTCGCGTGTTCTCTCGCCGCAACCTTCGCTTCCGTTATGATGATGATGAGAATCTACGAATCCAGGTTGCTTCATCGGGTTGCAGCTTCACTGACCGTTTTGGGTCTCTATGCCCTGTGTATTGCATTCGTGACAGGGATGTACTCCCTCTCATTGCCCCGCTCTCCTCCCATTGCCGTCACTCTCCTTGTCTTCGGCCTTCTCTTTGTCCCGCTTTCCTGCTTCCTCCTTTGCATCAATATCTACTCCCCCTAAGTGCATTGATGTATGAGTTGCAAATTTGACTTTTCTTAGTCAAAGAGTTTGTTCACTTCATTAGGATGTCAATTTTTAATTATTTTCTAATTTAGAGTTGGCAACTTTGAAAAGATTTTAATGTAGTTTTCCAATCAATCAATCTCGCACAATTGATTTTATTTTATTTCTGTTTAATTGTTGAATTTAATTAATTCTTGATTCCCTTTTTCCGTCCTTGTGGAGACGATACTCGTATTTACACCCTATACTACTATCTATTTTAAGTGCAAGAAAAATCACATCAATGTAAGATCTCCTTTAGAGAATAACATCAAATCATCAACTTATGCTATATGTACCTTAGCTTTTTTCTTTCCCTTTTCAATAGGCCCTTT